TCGGGGTACGAGCAGGATACGCGGCCATTTTCCCTCCTGTGACACGGTCTGCGGCCATTTTCCCGCCCCTGACACATGGTCCGCGGCCATTTTCCGCCCCTGATACGTGGTCGTAGGGAGGGGGACTCTCCCTTCATGCAATAGCCGCCTCCCTGTCCTCCACACCAGAACGGATTAACGGTAATTACATGGAACCTTATGGGGAAATTTGCTTCGGGTTGCGACCAATTCGAGTTGCGGCCAGAGTCACAGAACGAATTAAGTTTGTAAACCGAGGTTCCACTGTATTTGTTCAGAAGTAGTTCTTTCATAATGTAAGGAAGAAAATATGAAATATTACCTTTTAAAAATCAGGGGCATCATTTATCTGTAAATAATCAAGTTATCAGCTTCCAATATCTTAAAAAAACTCTCAAAATTGGATACTATAGAACTTGATCTAAATTGAATTGGTGAATCAGTTGCAGGCATAGAATCAACTAAATTATTTTAATTATTTGATAGCCCATTCTTGGATTGGGTAGACACAATCCAATATATCATTAAGTTTACTTAATTAAGAGGCTTGACCTTGCTCAATCCATTGTTAGATCGTTAAGTGTCTGAAAAATAAGGAAGGACTAAGAAAATAACAGTGCTATTTCATACACAGGTGTTCATAGCTTAGAATCACAGAAGTGATTATGTAGAGGGAATTTTTTGGACGTGGAAAAATGTGTTTCATCCTCAGTTTTAACATATATGAATAGATTTTTCTCTGAATATTTTGTTTTGTGGTTCAGCTCTGGAAATTTTTCTTTTAACACAAAAATGACAGAGGTTAAGTGCTTTTAAATATTTTACTTTTTCTCTCTAACTATACTACAAAGAGATGTGGTAGTACCATGAAGCTAGTTAGAAACATCCTATTACATCATTTCCAGTTGACTGTCATCTCCTGAAATGAACATACTTGTATCTTGTGGTTTCTTCCATTTCATTTTCCCCATTTTTTTCCTAGTATTTCCTTTTTTTTTTTTTTTTAGGAATATGGTCTTTCTGTAATCAGCAACTGAATTCTGAATGATGTATTTTGTAATGGGAAAGGCATAAGGGTGTAACGACAGAGCTCAAAATTATATACTTGGGTTATATTTTTAAAAATCAGTAATGGTATTGGGGATGGTTAACAATGGTAGCTTAACTAACTGAATGCCGAAGTCCTGTAATAGAAATGTATTCTATTATGTTAGTTCTTTGTCATTAAATATGAGTAATACTCATTTCCTGAATGACTAGTAACCACATCATACCACCTATATTTTAAAAAGCTAGCTCAAATTTAAGGCAAGATCCTAAACTGAGTACATACCAGATTTAGAGGAATCTCCTAAGTTGAGCAGTGTTGGTGGCTGGCAATTGTTTTAGTCTCTTTTGTGATGTCATAGAAACATTGCAACAATTCAGTATGGACAAAAGCCACATGTTTTCAAGGCACATTAAGGAAATGCATAAACTTTCACAGGACTTCATTATTTTTAATGATTAGTTAACATGAAGAATCAAAAGATGCCAAAGGCTATAGCTGCAGCACACAGGAAACGACTCCAAGGTGTGACTTTTGCAACTAAGCTATCTCCAGGCACCCACCGAGTTGCAGAAACACCTGATCTTCACAAATGTAAGAGCGTCAGACTCAGCAGTCACACACTGAAGCCTGAGCTAGCTAGTCTAATTGAAAAGACATTGCAAGAAGCTGGTAAGAGACTTGGCACTCGTATTACTGAGCAAAATTTGAGAAAGAACATTTGTAATATGGTTATGTTCCAGTTCTGTTTGTTTAAATATTCCCTCAGCTTTAGTCCAAATGAAAAGAAACCTTCCTTACCCAGCTAGGTAGCTTGGAGAAGGAAGGGGGGAAAAACCTTCCAATGTGCCACGATTAGTATAATTAATTGAAAAAATCACAAGAAGAAGTAAATTTGCAAGCTGAGATACAGTAATCCTCTGGCTTTTGCTACCGTAGCCTTAACTTCTTACTCATTGCACAAATTACTAATTCTATGCGTCATAATACTGGCCCTACAATTATTTATATTATGGGGGGAAATACAGTCCTTGAAACAAAGTGAGATTCCAGGACTCTATTTAGAGTCTGGAAAGTCTAATGTAACGTTTCCTTTCCCTAGAAATTTCAAGAACACAAGAAGCTACACTGAGTACAGAAGAAGATCTTCGCTGGTAATAAAGCATTTCCACGTAACAATCAGATGCAAGTGTGATTTGGTAATATAAGAACAAGCCTGAATGTGTCATCCAACATTCTCTTCTTCATTGTGATCTTCCAGAGGTTTCAGTGAAGCAAAGTTTGAAGGCAGCAGCCCTCGATGCCATTCTCCCTCTAATTGGCATGCTGCTTAAGTATTTGAAGGTTCTTTTTTTAGCTACTATTACATACTGTTGCTATGAATACATTTACCTTGAATTAATTCGCCTAATCCACCTTAAAGTGACATGCGGTATATTATTGAGCATTATCATAATCCTATGACAGTGAATTTTATTGATCTAATGGTGTAAGAATAATGTACTTTGTAGCCCTGCATCAGTGTCAACCAGCTGCATTGCATGATTTAATGAGAACTACAGTAATGTGCTAGCCCCATAGACACTTGCTATATCTGGAGCATTGGGGCAACAATTTGTGATGTTCTCAGGCTTGTTAAGTCTGTAAGTATTTAAGACCTACCATTTTAATTCATGCCATGTGGCTTCAACTCTTTCACCTGATAGTAATTTTAATTTATACCACATTGGTGGTTCTGTTGAATGCTGTTGCTTTGTTCTCATCCTGTTGGGTTTAATTCTATTTTAAATTGAACTGTATAGCATCACAATCATCCCCCGGAGGCTAAAAATAGGCAAGAAGGCCATCGCGGCCACACAGTCATAGGGCTGCCTCTTTTTATGTCTGCCACACGGGCAACACATTAAAAAGGTGCAGGGCTACAACTGCATAGCTGCAATTGGCATTTTGAAATTTTTGCCATCATCTCCTCGGCATCCTTGTTTAAAACCTATTTATAGTAATAACATGTAACTATAATATAATAATATTATTAATAATATAATAATGACTTAATAACAAATAACCGTGAAAAAGATGAAATATAAACTATTGCTGTGAATTCAAATTTATTTTCAGTTGTTCAGTTGAACCCCTATGAAATGGAATTAAATGTTGCATTTTATTTTCCCATCCAGTCTGAAAGTGATAAAGAAGAAAGTGAGTGAAATTACCAAAGATAAGGAGATCAGCCATGAACAAGCAGCATCTGCTAGAGTGGACAGCAGTAAACAAACGGTCAGGAAACACTGTTTTTTTAAATATAAAATTATTCATTTATAAACTATCAGTTCTGTGTTAGGCAATGTGTTGTATTAGGAATGGGGAAGAAACTAGTTTAAGGTCAGATACAGCAATTATCATCTCCCAGATCCTTCCAAAGCCTTATTTTAACCAAAGGGTTACAATCTCGGATAACATTTTGACAGTTTTCACAGATTTTGTAAGATTTCAGCAATTAAAAGGCATAGAAGCTCCACCCTGTAACGTATTGTGTTGGTTCTTGGTACTGTAATTTAAGGAAAAATCAGGCTCATTAGATCATTTCTAAAGAAGGGGAGGAAGAATGGTCTGTGGGCACCTAGGTAAAAGAGGCATCACGCAGAAAAAGGTACAACCTATTCTCCATTGTCTCAGTATGCACACCAGAGAATAATTTTCTAAAGCTACAGGAAGGGAGGTTTTGGAGGAAGACTGGGAGAAGTGCAGTGTCACAGCGGAACCAGTTGCTCAGAGAAGCCATGGTTCCCCTACCCCTTCCCAGGACTGTCTTCCAGAGAAGTTGGATAGATGCTTATTGGGAATGCTCTGGATTCCCGAAACGAGCAGGGGTTGGACTCCTGACAGCAACAGCATCCATGGGAGGGAATTGGACCAGGCAAGATGGTGGATACAGCATTGCATGTAACCCCACTCCTTTTGTATAGGTGTGAAGTCAACCGGTTGCCTGTTTTGATCCTGTCCCCTAAGCCCTCCACGCTTGGTGGCCTGTCAGGCTTCTCCCCGGTCTATTTTTTTTATATCAAGGGCATCACTCCATAGCACTGAGGTCAAAGAGTTTGGGGAACTGGGGCGGGGGGTGGGGGTAGGCTAGGATATTTGTGTACATCAATTATCTTTTTTCTGTCTAATTTTATATTTTTGAAGAATGGTTTACATTTTCTGGATTTTCTCTGAGTACATACAGTATCGTAATAAAATAGTTTGGCCTTTCCCTACCTGGCCCCTTACAGATGGACTCAGCTTGTTATTCCCAAACATCAGCATAATAGAGAAAAGGTACTTTTTTATATTGGGAGGGACAATCTTCTGTGCACAGAGGAAGTCCTTAAGAAAATGGGAAAATACCTTTCTGGAGTGTAAGAATGTGGTGTTAAAGTGAGATCACAGAGGGGAATTGGATGGCATTTTTATCTTTCCCCATCATGGGCATATGTGACATTTTTAAAATAGTAAAATATGCTTTAACACACTTTTTTCTTATTATTGCACCAGAAAACACCATAGACCACTATTTGGCGATTTCCTATCAGTTGGGTTCCTAGAGGGTCATTGGTTGTTATAACCTGTGTTATATTTATAAAGGGACTGGAGCTTTATAGCTGGGAGTTGAGTTAGCTAAATCCATGCAGCTCCTAGATAAATGGCATTGTCAATCCATCTCCTCATGCTAGTGAAAGAGTGGGCAAATCCATGCTGATGCAGATATAGTACAGCTGGATTTGACATAATGATTCAATTATAGTCACCACTGTATCACAGAAAAAAGATATGTCTTAGAGCAGTTTTCCATCGTTTCAGATGTATATCCCTTAAGGCTTTTTTTGTTTCTTTGTTTTTAATTAGACTATGGCTTAGACCATTAGACTTTGACTACACAATGTGGCCTCTGTTCAAGGTCCACGTGATATGGGAACGAGAGAACCTGATACTAGAGTCCAGTGGGTCATAGTCTCATCACCATAATGGAGAAAATAGCTAAATTGGAGGATGTTTATATATAGGGTGTTATAAATAGACAACATCATAGATCACTTGTATGAGAACATCATGAAGCACGTTACATCACTTGTTTCTCTCCTTCCCCCCTCCAACCTGCAGATGCCCACATATGGAGTGCTCAGATCTTGAGAAGATTTGCTAATACCAATCACAAGCAGTGTAGACAACAGCTAGAACATTCTGAACAATGACACATCAAAGTTTCTTACCTCGTGCCAATATTTCCTATGCCCAGATAGGAGGAATCAACAGGGCATGGTGGCTGGACCAGCAGGGACTCTGACATCGCCAAGGTGGCAGAAGCAAATTTACAGGCTTCTGGTCTTCTGACAAAGCTGGCTAGAAGTACTAATCAAGCAGACAAAAGGATAACAACAAAACAGAGAGAAAAGGCACCAGTGTCACAAGCTTGTGTCGGATTTAGAGAAATCAGTGCTAATAGCTGAGCAGCTTTTTTTAAATCTACATTTAAATTTGTAGGAAGGAAAGGCAGAAAGTGAAATAGAAGATGTATTCCTGAAGATAAAAGCAAGAATTTGCCCTCGCATTTCTCAGCATTCCTTTTCCCACCTGCTCTTAGAGAAGCAAATTCACTGTTTTGAAAGATGCCAAAGAGAAGAATAGGAGGCTGAGATGGTTAAAACCAAGCCCTCTCAAATTAGTCGGTTCATAGAGAAACACCCCCAGTCAGATGGCCTCCAGATGAATTAGATGATTTAACAAGTTGCCTGGGGACAATAGGGCCTTCTGAAGGCCACCAGGTTAGGGAAAGCCACCTGTTTCCTTCTGATTTTCAGATCATCTAGTGGTAAAAGAGAATAAAGACAATTGCTTTCTCCTTTTAATTAGATAGTGTCCCACACTGTACAGACAATGGCCTATAAAACGTGAGGCCATTTTTGTATCAGTATTTTCAGTAACATTTCAACGGATCTGATTTTCAAATAGGATCGTGAGCTGCTAGCAGCAACTCTCACGAGCTCCCTGGCCCCTGTTTCTGTCTGCTGTTTAAATGCCAATATTGGTTGCATTAGTCTAATAGATGTAAGTTACTTTTAAGTATGCAAAGCAGCTATGAATTCTTAGAGCAGAAGTGAATTCTTGGGTTGAATTATTTACTAGTATTGACCATAATAAGTTGCATAAAACAAATCTGGTGATTAATGATTTTTGATAAAAAAAAAAGGGGGGGGAGAGAAATTGTCTGGCTTAAGAAGCTCCAAATGATGCCTTCTGCCTTTTGATGTTTCAGTTCCAATATTATAGAAACAGCTTATTATCATCAAGTCTGCACCCGTGCTGCTTTTATTTGTTTATTCATCTTGAGTAATCATTCCTATTTCCACAATCTGCAGTAACCCCTTCATTTTATAATAAGACATTTGCAAGATGCACTGATAGTAATTATTAAAAGAGCTTTCTCTCATTTTGCAGAGCTGAGATACACCATGGAACCATCACATTGTTCTTAGCTTGGTAACAATATCAATGACACAGATTATGATGCTGTATTGGAATGATAATTTGAGAGAGATGAGCCTATTCATTTTTCTAGTTTTCCCCAGTATCTAGTGGCCTAATTACATGGCCATATGGAAATAGGTACATTAAAAAGGTGCATTCTAGCTTTTTCTGTTAGCCTTAACATGGTCAACAAAAATGGTATGTATGGGCTTCTGAGTTTTACACTTTTCTGTGATCTTGCCTCACTTTACAATCAAACTATGGTACTTAAATCAAACAGCTGCTTTTCTTTAGAGAAAATAGCTGTTACCTTTTCATTAGACCCTTTTACGTATCAGATGTAGTTCCACCCAAAGGTGCTTTTCAACTATATTGCATTTTCTTTTATCTTACCAATTACAGAAAGACTTGTCATCATTTGTGGAAATTGACCTGAGAGATAGAATTGAAGAGGTAAGTCAGGGAAATGGATTTTTCACTTGTTATACTTCCTGGAAGGATATGGGCCTGTCACAAAGACATGGAGAAATACATTCTAATTCTTCTTCCAAAGATGTTAAATTTACTAAAGCCATGGGATATTTATTTTAAAAAATGATATGCATCTTTCTTCGGGCATTTGAGTGGTGTACTGAAGCACGGAATCAAGACGGTGGCTGCAAGTGTCCCCCATGGACCTCTCTGCTAGGAACCCAGTCCAAAAGGAAGTGGGGCTGGAACTACAAATGTATTTCGATTAATGTAATATAATTATCCTCATACATGTAATCATTTCCTCTTCCATCATGTTTGTTGTTGTTGTTCAG